TTTATCGCTTCAGAACTAAGAATGTTTATATGTTTTCAGTTTAAAGTAATGTTATTCTCTGTCTTAAAATATTAATATGGTGCTTTAAAGGCAAAGTAAAATCAAGAGCTCCTCACTTGTCAAATCTAATTTCTGGGCCCTGGTGGAAACTTGCTTCTAAAGAGCACTGGATGGGTTCAATTGCTTGGTGCCCGGGCACATGGCCTCTAACATTAGATAATTCCTGTGTGAGACACAGAGCAGAGGCTTCTTCACAACAACATGTTTTGAGAAAATAGCTGGCCAGTAGTGATAGGCTTATCTAAATCTCCCAATTGTCCAAGGTTTTCATGATCAAGATGGGAGACTAGCCACTCAATTTCCTTTTGATATATTCTAAGCTGATGATGCTGTTAAACTTTCAAGAATATAAAAAACATAATGAACATGAAAAATAATAGGTGAAGCACAGTGAGTTGTGGGATGTTTCACAGATTGAGTGTTCTGACAGTTTTTGAAGAACTGAAGTCTGATGGAGAATTCCCATCCTAAGCCTTTCGTACAAGTGAAGATTGGTTCTCTGTGTCTCTGTGTCTGTGTTTCTCTGATGGATTAGGGTCTAACCTTTAGCTTACCTGGACCTTGTTGTCTCCTTTAATAGCCGAGCTGTCAATGAGAAGTGAAATTGATTACAATTTTTTAAATACCACAGCTGTTGGTTTTTTTTGTTTTATTTATTTATTTTTAACTTCAGCTGCTTCCCATAATTCTACAGATGGTATACATATGTTTATAGACACATAGAAAAAGCTAGATTGAATTCCTCCCATGTTTAATTCTTATTCTTTTCTGTCATGCAGAAAGTCAAAGTCACAGAACTGGGAAATTGTATACAATTGTAGATTAATATTTCTGTGCATTATGGCTTTGGAAACAGCAAGGCAACTAACAATATGCTAATAAGCTGACGGTTTTTATTGATCATAATGGAAGTCGACAAGTGTCTTTCTTAGCTTCATGCAAGCTGGAATATTTTATTAACTATCTTCAGGGCAGAAAGAAATGATTGGATGTGCTTTGAAAACCCTCCTCCTGAGTTTCCCAAGTCTTACTTTTTGCTAGCCTGTTGCCAGAGCTTGGGGTCATTTCCACTTTATAAACAGAACACATCTTCATCCATATATTTACATGCCTGGCAGGAAATCCACCCATCCCTTTTCTCTTTCTCTTTCAAGGCAATTTGTTTCAGTGTTTTAGCATACAAAAAAAAATGGAACCATTTTCTTCAATGTAAACAGAGATCTGCAGGGAAATAAGAGCATTAAAAAGAATTAGCATTTGTTTGGTGGTAAAGTAGCTTTCATTTGTATCTTATCAGAAAGCTCTTAGGAAGTCTTGCCTAATCTTGGCTATTCCAACCAGAACAAGGTTCTAATGGTGTAATGTTCTGATTTATTTTATTGCCTCCTCCTTTTTTTTTCTTCCCATATGAAATGAAAAAAATGTAGGGATAATGGAAATATGGGCATTAGTTCTTCAAACATTAATGTACAGCATAAAGTATAACCTCTCTGGAATAAATTTATTTTCCCACTGACTACAGGAGGCAGAAGTGGCGACAGGTGGGACAAAGAAAAGGAAAAAAAGGTTCATTTCCCCTGTCTGTCCCCACTAACAGTAACAACTTTTTAATTTGGGCTCTGCCCTTTAGAAATTTACTGAGGTTTTTCAGACATGCTGGGGGTTAGAGAATGGATTAAGAAAATGGATTGTTTAGGAATTAATAGTATAAACAAGATTGCAGGGGAAATAAGCCTGTGGGGAAAAATGCTTCTGCTTTTCAGCACTGAACAATTTTAGCAAGCTATTTTAATAAACCGTTAGCAATGAATGTCACAGTATTTGAATACAGATAATTTGTTATACGTGTTTGATTAGTATCCATTTAAGGTGATTAAAATTAAACCTTATTTTGAAAACAGATTTTTTTTTGTAGGAGTATCTTATTAGTGCATGTAACTAGAGCCCTATTAAGCTATGTGTTCTTACCCATGACATTTGTAGGATACCAGCAATGGTTTTGGAGTTAGTAACTCCTAGTATATGGTTTAAGATTAGGGTTTTTTGAGGAAACTTAAAGTATCAAAGTCTAACTTCTCATTGGTCAAATAGATACATGATTTGGCCCCAGACCTATACTCCTTGGAGATACCAAAATCATCTCAGAAGAATACCCCAAACAGACTTTACTGTCCTTGTCCAACATTTTTTTTTGGGGGGGGGTCCAGTCGTAGGGCCTGAACTCTGGGCCTGGGCGCTGTCCCTCAGCTCTTCAGCTCAAGGCTAGCGCTCTACCACTTGAGCCACAGCACCACTTCCGGCTTTTTTTCTTTTTGCTTATGTGGTGCTGAAGAATCGAACCCAGGGCCTCATGCATGCAAGGCAAGCACTCTACCACTGAGCCACCTTCCCAGCCCTTGTCCAACATTTTTTTGTATATATTTTTATTGTAAAATACTGTACAGAGGGGTTACAGTTACATGAGTAAGGTACCTCCTCCTTTGTTTTTCCCCTGCCATCCCTTCCCTCCCCACCTCCCCAACTGCTCCCCTCCCCCTCCAGTTGTAAAGTTCGTTTTCAACATAGTGTCTTGTACATTTTGTACATTGTTACAATGGTCAAACCATATCCTTATTTCAGCATTTTGTTATTTCCCTCCCTGCCCTCCCCCACAAATTAGAAAGATGTATATACAAGATGCAGGGCACCGGAATCAAATACAGTGAAAACGGGGGTTAATACCATTAATGTATTTATAATGTACCATGTAATTTTTTTTGTCCAACATATTTTGAAAATTCAAAATGATGATGAAAACTATTTCAGTATGAATACAACGGATACTGAGAGCAAATAGAAAAATACAGGAAAAGTATGGAGAAGAAATTTGTAATTTATCCTGTGTCTAAAATTAGTAAGGTCACATAATGAGTACATTTCTTGTTTTGGACAATGTCATTCTTATTTCTCTTTTTCCCATGTTCCCCCTCCCATCTCTATGTGTATATTGAATATTCACATAGTGTGTATTGAATAATATGATTGTGTTTGTTCATCCTCCCTCCTTCCTTTTCTGCATATCTTTTACAATGCTTTTTATGTTTTTTTTGATAAAGTAATTTGTGTCACAACAAATGTAACAGAATTTTGAGTGTTGTTTTTCCTTGGATGACAGAAATAAGAATGGTGTGGCATCTTCTGATGAATAGGAAATAGATGGGCCCAATCAGTTATTGATACATGTGTTTCTAACACCTCTGTCTCACCTAGGTTAAACAGCTGTCTGAGTTTTTGGAAGTCTCTTGTTTTAACACTGAAATTTCCCATGTTCCAGGAAAACCCTATGCCATGAATAAAACAAGGATGTAGTTGGGTTACTGGAAATTCATCTATAATCAAATCTGATTTTTCTAATGTGATAGTCAGTTTTCAGTGATAGTCTGTTCTTTGGTGGGAACCTTTATCTTTGTTTAGATGTATGCATTTGTAAATATGCATTTATATCTCATTTTATATGCATATGTATTATGAAATGAATAATTACCCAATGAAACCACAGAGCTCTAAAATTTGATACTATCAGCTTTTATTCCTATTTAATTGATCTAGAACTTGAATGTTGGAAGGATCTTTTAACATTTAAAAAAATCTATTTACTACTTTTTCTCTGCCTCAATTGAGGCAGAGAAAGTGATTGATTTATGGCCTATAGTTTACCCAGTAAGCTAGAGTGAGATCCAGAATTTGAGCCCATGTCACCTCACGTCTGATCATTCATTCATCTATTTTTCTAATTGCCAAATCTTGAAAGATATTCTAGGAGTTAATTTGCTTGGGAAAACTGAGCAGTCTTGTCCCAGAGAGAGGCTGATTCATGTAGATTGTGAATCCATTAATTGCTCCCTGGAAACCCCCTGCAAGACATTATGAAATAATATTGACGAGCCATGGCAGAGACTTCCTCCCCATGGAGAGGCTGTCTACCCTGGTAATCACAACACTGCATCATCCTCAAAGAGGAAGAGGTTAATTAATGTATATAATTCTGCTGCAAAGGTTCTGGGGTACAGGTATTTTTATTAATATTTCCAATTCATATTTTAGCCTGAAATAATAAAAGGAGAAAACAGCATTTGCTGACTGCCTTCTGTTGTTTAGAAGAGGAGCACATAAATGTTAAATGTTACTCCCTCAGAAAGACTTGCAGCACTATCTTAAGCCGATATTTTATTTATATTTAAACTCAGTATTCTGAACCAGCTTCCACATCTTCCATCTGTTCGGTAATATCTTTTCTATCAAATCTAAAAAAAAAATCTTTCTAAAAATAATAGCAAACCTAAAAACAGAATCTTAAATTTAACCTCAAAAAATCCAAATGCTCAATCAGTATTTCCACTGAGGGATGCTGCCCCTGATAACTTTAAGTTCAGGGTGTTCTTCCAGATTGAATTCCAATATTAGAAGACCCAATTTTTACTCACAGATGTTGAGTCTTATGATATAGCAGCAAGGACTCAATGCTACTTACTTGGGAGTGAAGATAATATCTAATTTTATTTCCCTGACTAAATGAATCAATGCATAAACATTTTAGTCTGTTACCTTTCTTCCTCCTTTAAAATATTTTATAAAATCAGCCATATTTAATGTGTCAGCATGATTAGAGCATTGAAGAAAATTGTTATGGTGGGAATGCCTTTTTGGTATGATAATTTAAGAACATTTCCTGCTGGATCCTTGGTGCTGTGATCTTGACATTAACCAGTGGTGGCTAATTGTGGCTTTGTCGGGATGAATGTACTTCTCAAGATTCAAGACAGTGATTTGAAGTAGTGTATTGTGGATAAAGGGCACTTCTCATTTTGAATGCACTAGTTTTGCTAAAAAGTAATCTGACCTGCGTGGCCATTTGAACTGGTGATGTCATTTTCATTGTTACTTGTCTTTTCTTTATCAAGGGGATCATCCAAGATGGGAAAATCATCTTTATGCCAAATGGATACATAACACAGTGCCCAAATCTAAATCGCAGTAAGTAGCAGCTTTAAAATCATTTGTGAATTTTAAGTATTATATAACTTGTTCAAATGACCATGGAAATACATGTAGAAAGATACACACATACTTAACATTGTTAATTTCTGAAATGGTGAAGATAGTGAACAAGTATGATCTATAATATGCATTTCTGTGCCTTTAAACATTTAAAAATGACTTGACTTTTTACTAAGTTAAAAAGAGAAGACATGTAGTGGTTATAATAATGAGTTTGTATTACTCACACACACACACACACACACACACATAGATAGTCTTTAAGCTTGAAACTTGACTTGGATATGAGCTGACTTTTTCCTTTTATATAATAGTTTACATTTCTGAATTTATCTGACAATAAAACATGGGTTTTTATTTAACAATATATCATTAATTTAGAAATGTCATATTGTTAAAAATAAAGCTACACTATGATCTAGCTATACTACTTTTGGACATTTAGCTGAAAGATTGTACCTACAACTCATGTGCATTGCAAGTCTATTCATAATATTTGTAATAGTCAAGCTAGGTACCAGCTCAGATGTGTACATGGTCAAACTGACTACAAAGGATGGTATATACATCTGCGGATTATGTTGTAACTCTTTGGAGCAATTAACATAGCATTCAATAGAGTGAATAACAGAAAGATGGAATATGACTTGGCTGCTGGGGGAGGATTAAAACAAGGGGTCTGATGAATGAAAATAGAAATAGTAATAGTAGGTGAATATATAATACTCCATTTATATACATGAAAAATGAATAACCTTGAAGGGGCCATTGGGATTTAGATAAATGAGAGGCATGAAGAATGATAGAAGAGGTGACTTTGCCTAAGATGCATAGTATACATAAATTGACACCTCAAATTAAAACCCCTCTGAGGAAAAAAAGGTAAAAGAAATCATACTGTTTTTCTTTCAGTTAACAACACTCCCACACCCCCTCCCACATTCTTTTTTCCTTTTTCTTATTAAAAAAAAAAAGGAGCAAAGCTAGCCTTGATCCTCTGTGATTTCACAGAGGATTTAGTAAAAAAGGTAAAACCCTTCTATAGTCAAACAACTACTGTTTCAAAACTGTCTTTTTTTATATTAGCACAAGATCAATATATATATATATATATATTTATATTTTCTTTATTGAGCTTGCCCAACCTGCAGTGATTTCTTAAGCCTGGTGCAAGGAATAATGGATTTACAGGAGCTCTTGGCCAAGATGACTGCAAAAGTAGGTATCTAAATTTCACTTGTGGTGTTTCATTTCTTTCTCTCTCCTATCTGGAATTTAGAGTGATAGGTTGCAATGGAAACATTTTTAGCCTTGACAGCTGCAATATGTTAGTACAAACATGTTTTATCTTACTGGAAATATGACCACCTATTTTAAGCGTCACCATTCAGATTCTGATATTATTAGACCGTATTGAAATGTTTTTCTTGAAAAACGCTTTGAAGCAAGAGGTGCAGTATGTATCACTGGTAGATTTTCTATGAGTGGAAAAGGGATTTGCCCATTGGTTATTAAACTAATAGCATTGTGAGATGATAGATGATCAGAGTCACTGCTGCTTATAAAGCAAGGTGTTTTGGTGTAAGAATAATTGCTAATAATCAGGAAAGACAGAATAGCTATTGTTAGGAACAGATGATAATCATAGGAAGGTATTATATCAAATTTCTAATGTGTGATTTGCTTCCGAATTGGCCCTGAGCTAAATAGGGAAGGAAGCAAAATTGCCTTCCAAGACCTTCAGTTTTTATAACTAGGCATCTTTCCTCCTTCTGTCATTCACAAAACAAGCTCTGTATGAGGACCTAGTTTTCTGTATCCTGTAATGCACAAAGAGGCAATGTTGAGCAAAAAATTTCCTTCTTTAGAACTACTTACATAGACAAACTGAACCAAAAATGTGAATAATTAGCACATGAATACCTATTTATAAAGTAGAGAGTCATAACGAAAAGCCTGAGTTTTGTGGAGAAAGGTAGTGGAAAATAAAACCAGAAAATATGTCTAATGCTGTTGTTATGATACCAATCAGTCGTGGACATCAATTCCAGCCTAGGGCCAAGAAAGAATTAGGTTGAGCCTAAGAGACATTATACTCTGCAAAGGGAAGTATTTTAATAACAGTGGAAATGATACATTAATCCCTTTCCACCTGCAGCTATGACTGCTCCCTGCCTTTAGCCATGACACAGGGAAAAAAACAAATTGGTAGGTAGATATGTGATTGGGAGGTTGGGCTGTATCTTGGGCCCATAGATTGTGCCACTAAAAACAACATTTCTGTTTCAAACTAGATTTTTTTTTGGCCAAGTCTCTCCTTTTGTCTGTAAAACAGAGATGGAATATTTTTTACAAAGAGAAAGAATGAGACTGGGGCTCAAGACCTGAAGCATTAGCTTTTTACTTCAGAGTGTGGCGGAAATGTGAAATGCAGGCAATTATTTGCCTTCCCCGCTTGTGGCACATAGAGGCTTTTATTTCGTATTGTCTGAAGCTGCTTGATCTCAATACTGTCAATTATATTTTAGCATGCTACCAAATTTTTGGAACAAGAAACATGCCACTTAGTCTTAGGTAATGGCGGTTCTCCATTCTCAGGCTTTGACAATGTCCTTTCCTTTCTCATTCTTTCCCATTGCAGGGAATCTCATTTTTCTTTCTTACTTTTTTTGTTTTGGGGTAGATATTGTCTAGGAGCCACAATGATCTTTACCCTCAAAGCACCATTATATAAAATGAGCATTTGTGAGGCAGAAAAAACTTAATTGTGAGAAATTGCTAGCAGAAAATGTTTAAATTTACCTTAAATGCCCCTTCTCCCACCACTTTGGCAGATTTATAGGTCTGTTCCTTCCAAACAGGTAGAATTCTAATTCTACAACTGGATACTTATTTTTTATTGCATAATTTTGAATATATAATAATCTGGAACAGGTAATACTTTCTATAAATTGCCAACTAATAGATTTTGAGCTTTTCAAGCCAAGAGGCAAAATTGAGGATATTATGAATATAGTTCTTTTTACCTAAATATAATAATCATTTATGATAATTTAACATATAACCATTAGAAACTATAAGAGCCATTTTTTAGCTGTACAGAAATAAGTGGAACAGATGTGGCCTGTTGGGACTTCATTTTTCACCATTGATCTAGAAGAAGGTAGAAAGGCAGGCACACTAGGTAATATTTGCTGAGCACTTTCTATACATTCCTTCCAAAGCTTAAGATTTTTAAAATAGTCATTATTTTATGCTCACAATAATTCTGTGAGCTGTTTAATTTACTAGTGTACTTTATAGATGAGAAGAATGCCATCCAGAACAGTTAGATCACTTTTTTTTAAGGTAGTGGATAGCAGAGTTGGGAACCTGAGTATAGGTGTCTTATCCTTCATGTTGAATCATGATTGAGAAAGTGTGCAATGGAGAGAAGGTGATTGGAAAGAGAAATGAAAAAGAAATATGATGGTTGAATGACTGACAGAGAGAAAAAGGTGGCTGATGCCAGCAGGATAAAAAGAAGAAAGGAAAGGGAGGATGCATGTTTGATCTCTTCCTCGAACAGAGGTAAAGTTTTCACTTGGTTATCTGTTGGGAGTGAATGTGAATCAAGCTTGTAGAAACTTGGCATCCTCCTGGAGAGCAAGCCTTGCGCACAATCTGGACAGCAATTGTTAGCCAAAGGCAGATAAAACCAGTCATAAATAAATCCCAGGGGTCTACTTAGGCTGACTCATTGTTCTTTTTCTCCTTTTAGAGCTGATGGTGTTGGGAAATGACTGTGCCCTTGCTGGAGACAGAATAGATCATAGAAGCAGCTTATACTCACTTACATTCAGTGTCAGAGACTAGGGTAGATAAGATACTCCTGGAGAAATCCTGACAATTTGACAAAACCAGACATCTTCAAGCAGAGAAGGTGCATGAAGGTTACCCACAATATGAAATTCTACTTTTTGTTGTTACTCTCTTGAACCCTTAAAGATCTACAAGATTCTACAACGCTATGGCTTACTCTAAAGTTCTCCTAGGTGGTTTTATCATGGTGGGAGTCACATACCTTCTAGTCAGGCGTCTTGCCATAGGCTCAGGAGATAGTGTCTTGTTCTCCAACTCCACCAGTGCTATGATCTCCTCCTCTCTCCAGTATCAGGAGAAGAGACACTAGAGCTTGGTAATTTCTCAGTTAATTTTACTTATATCTGTGACAAATCTATGTAGTCAGATCAAGCAAAACTTGGAATGGCATTTCAGTTACTATCATTTTGAGACCTTCATTGTTTTGAACTCAGTTATGGTTTTCTAATTACATTGAAAAGATTTAAAAATAGGAATTTCATTTTCCCCCTCTTCCATATTGCAAACAACAAGTAGTACTGGAAAGGCAAAAAGCAATCTACCCTGTGGCTAATGTAGTCAGATCTATTCATTACCCTGTCTCTGTGCAAAGGGCCTCGCTGTCTATCTTTCCATGTATAGCATTGAAAATAAATGATAGAGCCAGTGGTCACTTAGGTAAATGCACAAACAAAGATGGAACACAATAGAGCTGTAGGTTTGATATCATATCTATTTTAGATTTTCAGGCATTCTGAGAGAAAGCAAGTAGTATAGAAATAGCTTTTGAAAATGAACTTGTATAAATTCACCATGCTAATACCAATGGCATAAAATGCAATTCATTTTTTGATTCAGAGTTGTTTTTCTCCTTTATTATTATTATAGACTTTATCAGGGGTGAAAAGAAAGCAAGATTACATATTAAATGGCTTTGAAAAGTTAGTGGGATTTTTTTGCCTTAAGATCCCTTTGCCTTTGTATCTGTTTGATTCATTATTTTTATTATTATAATAGAGATTAGGGATTTTCAGCAAAGGCTAAACATATATTTTTAAAAAAACAAATATCTGAAGGAAAACAAAATCTAGTACATTAAAACCCACATTGTCCTCAGGAATGGAATCCTATAGATGAATACAGCTCAGATTTATTGGATCAGTACTGGTAATTGCTAGTATTAACCTTAACCAAGATCCTAGAAATTTATGGAACTTAAACAGATACTGAATTGCCTTTTGGATTATATAGTCTTTAAGAGGCTTCCATCTAAGCTGGGCACTGGTGGCTCACACCTGTAATCCTAGCTACTCAGGAGGCTGAGATCTGAGGATCGCGGTTCAAAGCCAGCCCGGGCAGGAGAGACCGTGAGACTTCTATCTCCAATAAACCATCAGAAAACCGGAAGTGGCGCTGTAGCTCAAGTGGTAGAGCGCTTGCCTTGAGCTGAAGAGCTGAGGGACAGCGCCCAGGCCCAGAGTTCAAGCCCCACGACCGACAAAAAAAAAAAAAAAAAAAGAGGCTTCCATCTAGAGTTGCCAAAAGTTTTCAGAGCAATGAAGAATCCTTATTCTGACAAGCAGAGACTACATTATGAGCTACGTTTTGAAGGTATTTGGATCCAGTTCAACTATTTTTTCTTCAGTCGTAGGTCATATGTTAATCACACCTTATGTAGGAACTACTGGGACTAACAGATATGCAATAATGATAATACTAATGAGTTCTCAAGTCCTTTTTTATTATCTTATCTCTTTTTTTTTGTCTTTTTTCTTTTTTGGTACTGGGGATCGAACCCAGGATGTTGCACTTGCTAGGCAAGCGCTTTGCCACTGAGCTACATCCCAGCCCATTATCTTATCTCTTATCTCTATCTATCTATCTATCTAGTTTACCTACTTAACCTCAAAAAATTCTTAGAAATAGATTTTATCTGTGTTTCTTAAAGATTTCCCAAAGATCTTAACTATCATAGACTCTAGAAACTCCATGATTAGGCTGGAGTTTTAAGTTAAAAAAAAAGATTTTGTTTTTGAATGATCATATTTATTAAAAGAAGTCCTAGGTAGCTGATTTTTCATGCAGAGTCACCTTAGTACCATGTTGTTTGTGGTTTATCTAGGATCCTATTTGTTATTTTCTCTGCCCTTTGCTATTTCTCACCAAGGGTGAACAGCCGTCAAGTTTCCTGGGAAATCCCACAAGTCTGGAGAAAGAGGATGTGATAAATGGCAGACCTATAGGGGAGAGATATATATGAAATCCATTTCCAGAGAGCATCTCTCTTATGAAGGACTAAGAGAAATATGTGTAGAATGAGACCACAGAAAGAATCTGGGAATGATTGTTCAGGCTTAACTACTACTCTTTAAAGAAGTTTGTTGGACCAAAGACTTAAATGATGTGCATGGAGAAAACACTCAACTCAAGGAGGCATAGTGTGATTGGGAAGGAAAAAAATTAGGAAATGATGAGTATGAACTTTTTTTTTCAGTAATGACAGTCTTTATGTAAGGGGAAGGATAAAAGGGTAATAATTGCTGTTTGACTAAATTACTCTTTAGTGTGGATATGACAATAGTCATCTCAGACCAAAGTGCTATATTCAGGGGTGGATTTTTCTTTTTGTGTGTGTGGTGCCAGGAATCAAACCCAAGCCTCAGACATGCTAGTCAGACACCCATCCAGTGAAGCTTTTGGAATAGAGTGGATGATGTAGAGTCAGAAGAGAGGAATGAAGAGTGGCTAGGAGAGAGAAGGCTGGAACCGTACTGGGAGGAGTTGTTAAGGAAAATCTCATGGTGCAAGAAAGCTCAGATGTTCACAGATTAGACAGAGAGATTTCACAGCTCTAGTCCAGAATGTTGTTTCAAATATCCAGGGCTGTGAAGAACTTTCTTTGGAAGATGATATGTGTTCCTTCCACCTCTGGAGAGGTGCAGGAACCTCAGGAATATCTCATCAGAGACGAAGCAGTGAGTTCCTGGCTTGTATACCATAACACTCCAGTTAATATGGAAGGAACATGGAGAGGATAGTAGGGAATAAATGTAAACATTGTAACTGGTTCTGGGGAACATATTCATTATAATTACATCTTGAGCTGAAAGCACCCTTTCCAAATGCCCATGTGGCTCTGGAGGTAAAGCTTAATGTCTCATTTGGTGTTCATTAGACCATAGGAGCCAGTATGTCTTTCAAGTAATTTCACCTTGTGTTAAACACAACAAACCCAAAACAAAATGAAACAAAGCAACAGCTCCTGCTAAGAACCAGTGAGCTATCCTGAGCATCTCTCTCTGTCTCTCTGTTTCTCTCTGTTTCTCTGTCTCTCTCTCTTTCTCGGTCTTTCTCTTTCTCTCTGCTGGGATCTATTCTTTTTCTTGTGCAGTATCTTAGTTGGGACAATACAGTTGAATGACACAAATCACACTTCATTGCTCTCTCTGTCTCTCTTTATCAGCTAAATTATGCAGAGACAAGACTTAGTCAATTGGAAAACTGTCATTGTGAGAAGACCTGTCAAGTGAGTGGACTGCTGTATCGTGACCAAGACTCTTGGGTTGATGGTGACCAGTGCAGGAACTGCACATGCAAGGTAAGCCCAATTATAAATAGAACACTGAGCCGTTTTAAGGAGATAAGCTCATTACTTACCATATAATTGGACTCCTTAATGCATAATATTGACTCCTTTGGACCCACCACCTCTTTAGTAGTCTGAGTAGTTGTGAGTCAATGCTGGAGAATTGTTATTTCTTATCTAAAAACTCAGACATTAAATTCTCCTCCCTCTTGACTTACTCTCATTTGAATTATTTGTATTATTACTATTATGATTTTGTGTCAGTACTGAGGCCTGACCTAACTCAAGTTCTGGGTTCCGTTGCATAGCTGTTTCAGTCCAGGCTGGTGCTCTACCACTTGAGCCACAGTTCTATTTCTAACTTTGTGATGGTTAATTGGAGATAAGAGTCTCATGGCCTTTCCTACTGGGGTGGCTTTGAACCTTGATACTCAGGCTTCAATTCTGAGTAAGTAGGATTACAGGTATGAGTCATCAGTGCCTGGTTTTGGCCTGATATTATTAATAAACTTGTTGAAAATTTCAGAGTGGAAGTTTAGAGAAGGGAAAAGAGTCCGCGGATTCTCATGCAGCCTAATGGCTAGCTTATCTGCTAGAATGAGTACGAAAAAGGTGTAATTAGTCTCTGCATGTTTGTGTTGTATTTTGGAAGCTATCTATCATCAGAATTGCAGGACATTTTCCCCATTCTCTGCTTTTCAGGATATCCATCATTTGTAGACTCATTTCAGAGAATTTCAAGGGCCCCATAGAGAAATTAGTATGTAAACCCTGTCCTGCTGAAATGACTCGATAAATATCTGAAGAATGCCATTGTTTGTCCACAGAAATACAAAATGGATTGCTAGAGCCTCAAAAATGATTGACAGGGTCTGCAAACGGTGTTATTTATGTTCTTGTAAAAATAGGCTTTTTGTTTGCGGCCTAATCTACTTAGTCCACATGGGCAGGTGGGATGAAGCCAGTGATGTATATCAGAAAAGTAATTGAGGTGATGTGGGTTCATTCGAGCTGAAGAAAATACTTGATTTGTGGTGGTGGAGTGGACTGGGAATTCCTCACACTGCTTCTGTTTCCCTGATGAGGTTTGGGGGGATGAGATGTGAACTTTCCTTACAGCAGAAACATTCAAAGAACACTCCTGAGTTTCCTTCTCCTGTCTTCCCTTGCTCAGAGTGGTTCCGTGGAATGCCGAAGAATGTCTTGTCCTCCTCTCAATTGCTCCTCAGACTCTCTTCCTGTGCACATTGCTGGCCAGTGTTGTAAGGTCTGCCGACGTAAGTACTGACTCAGGGTCCTAGTGGTCCTCGGTGCTTTGGGTTAACTTATATTTTCCTCTATTCTTCAAGACCTTGTTTGATGGGTACTGATGAAGCAAAGCACTGGCAGTTGATGTCATATTAAATATATGATTAAAGACTCCCAAGATTTTAATTGCCTTTGCTGTGGCAGATAATGTTACCTGACATTATTTTCCCCTTCAGAAAATTCCCTCTTATTAACTCTAGTTACTGTTCTCACATGCTCAATGGAGACTGCTTGTTTTTATAAAGGATTAGATCTAGGGTCAAACAACTGGGTGGGCTTAATCTGTAAACTCACAATGCCAAAGTTCCCTGGGCTTGAGTCTTCTAATTCCGATGACTGAGTTAAGAGCCAAATTCTGTTTTTGATTCTGGAGGTTTGGGCCAGATTCTCTTGTCATTAAAGGGCCTTTGTTAGGGATTTCAGAATGAAATTCAGTTAGAGAACCAAAGCGGCATTGGCTTGTGCATGTAATACAATGACTTAACAATCCCCTTCACATCTGTTTCAATTGCTTCAAATGAAAAAGTTGAGCACTCAGGAGAGGGTAAGAGTTAAACATATCATTTGAAATACTTGTTATGCACCTTATACAGTACCGGGTGCATAATTTTACGTTATTATTCTACCTTACAGGAAGTTTAGACTTAAGGAAGTTAAATTACCAATCTCTCAAAGCTGGTGAGACATCAAACTATTTTTTTTTCTGGCAATACTGTTTAAACTTACAGCTTTGCACTTGCTAGGCTGGTGCTATAGCACTTGAACTGCATTTCCAGCCCTAGATTTTGTTAGTTTTATTTGTGTATGTGTGTGTGTGTGTGTGTGTGTGTGTGTGTGTGTGTGTGTGCACCTATGTGCGTGCGTGCTCATGCATGTGTATGTGTGCTGATCCCTGGGCTTGAAATCTAGGCCTGGGGACTCTCTCTGAGTTCCTTTTGCTCGAGACTAACACTCTATCATTTGCATCACAGCTCTACTCCCAATTTTCTCCATAGTTCCACTCTCATCTATTTTCGTGTCCGGGCCAGCTTCAAACTGTGATCCTCAGATCTTAGTCTCCTGAGTAGCTAGGATTACAGGCATGAGCTACTGGTGCCCAGCTTTTTAATTTTTTTTTTTTTTGGGTCCGGTTGTGGGGCCTGAACTCTGGGCCTGGGTGCTGTCCCTCAGCTCTTCAGCTCAAGGCTAGCGCTCTACCACTTGAGCCACAGCGCCACTTCCAGCTTTTTTTCTTTTTGCTTATGTGGTGCTGAGGAATCGAACCCAGGGCCTCAGGTATGCAAGGCAAGCGCTCTACCACTGAGCCACCTTCCCAGCCCAGTCATTTTTTCTTTATTCTATATTATTTGAGAATTCTAAAACCTCAAAAGTATTTTAGAAAGTTGTCTAGTTTTACCACCAGTAAACTAATATACATGGTAACTAAAACATTAGCATTGGCTTTTATGTCTTTATTTGTATAGAATTCATATCAATTTAATTAGGTGCCACTAATTTTCTCAGCAGAAAATTAATAGTTTAATGTATTTTGAGTTTAATAAAGTGGGACTACATATAAATTATTAAGATCACTACTTGTCCAGACACTAGGGGCTCATGCCTTAATCCTAACTACTCAGGAAGCTGAGATCTGAGGATTGCAGGGCGCAGGAAAATCCCTGAGACTCTTTTTTTTTTTAAAAAATATTTTTTATTGTAAAGACACTGTACAGAGGGGTTACAGTTTTCCCCATACTATACCTTTTCTCCCCACCTCCCCAACTCCTCCCTCCCCCCTGCAAAGTTGTAAAGTTCGTTTTCAATTTTCTCACCAGCTTTTCTTGTAGAGCGTTGGGATCAAAGTAGGGCTTTGCACATAGGAGCAAGTGCTTTCACACTGAGCCCTTTAATTCATCAGAAGGCTTACTAGTTTTTCATATTTAATAGAAATAATGTTTAGTAGAAATGTAAATTCAGCAGCTTCTGAGTTTGGGTGCCTGGAACAGTGGTGGAAGAGCCCTTCTTGCTATAGAAGCTCACTTTTGAATGACAGATAAGGTTTAGAATGTCCACTTTTTTATATTTTTTAATTGTAAAAGTACTGTACAGAGAGCTTACAGTTACATGAGTAAGGTAATGAGTACATTTCCTATCCAACATTGTTACCTCCTCCTTTGTTTTAGGGGAAAAAGAACAATGTCCAATTTTAAGTGCAATACCAATAGACATCTGTAGGGGGCTGGCTAGAGCAGGGAGGAAGGCTGGGAGAGGGAGGTGGAGGACACAGGTAGATGCTCCTGAGGAAGTGGAGCTAAATGAAGAGTTTCTAGCCTTCTACTAGATGGCTAAGGTGGGTTGCTCTGTAGGAAAAAAGGAGAATGGGGGTTGACAGAGATGAGTTTTTAACATGAGTCAGTAGAATTCCTAGAAAATTTCAAATAGCTTACATCACAAAAAACAATGATGGACATCGCCCCATTTATCAGGAGATGGAAAGACTTGGAAAAAAATTATATTAAGTGAAGTAAGCCAGGCCCAAAGAAACATAGGTCCCATGGGTTCCCTTATTTACAATAACTAGTATATGTCTAGGACAAGCAGAAAAGGTCAGAAGCTATGTATGCATAACCATATAAGATGATGTTAAGTGAAATGAACCCCTAGATAGGAACACATGTTTCTTTTGTATGTTCTTCCCCAATGGTATAACCCCCGTTTTCACTGTATTTGATTCCAATTCCCTGTATCTTGTATATACATTTTTTTAAAATTTTTTAACAAAATGCGGAAATAAGGATATAGGTTGACCCATTGTAACAATGAGATGTACAAGGCACTATGTTAAAAACAAACTTTACAACTTTGGGGTAGGGAAGAGTTAGGGAAGTGGGGAGGAAGGGATGGTAGGGGAAAAACTAAAGGAGGAGGTAACAATGCTGGATAGGAAATGTCCTCATTACCTTACTCATGTAACTGTAACCCCTCTGTACAGTATTTTTATCAAAAAAGAATATATATATATATATATATATCAAAGGAGAAGAATCTATGGAGACTGCTAGGGACAGGTCAATAATAAAAGCCATCATATGTACTACAGTGATGAAGCAATGGAACCGCATGCTCAGTGGGGATTTCAGACTTCTCCAGTGCCTCCATCCATCTCATCCCCCGTAAATTTAAAAAAAAAAAAAAACTATGATGGAGAATTTACTTGAGTTGTTCCTATCAAAGGTAATAAATATGTAAGGCATCACAATATTGATTAGCTCAATTCAGCCATTTCAACATGTACATATTTCAAAGCATCATGTTGTACACCATCGACATAAACAATTTTGTCAATAATAATAATAAAATAGAAAAGGAAAATTATAAAGAGGAAAAATATAGTTTGTCTTATGTGAATAGCATAGAGTTTTAACCAAGTTTGGTAATCTGGATTGCCATATATAAAATATTTATTAATATAGATAACATATTAATGTCTATATATTAATAAATATATAATATATTTAATTTTTGCTTTTCATGGAGATAGGATCTTATTACATAGCCTATGCTGGCTTTGAATTTATTATACTCCTTCCTCAACCTCTGTATTATTTTATTTCTCATTGAACCCATCCACATGTGAAATATCACATAGATATATCACATAGATATATTTAGGACGATTATTTTTTGGCTTACCACTCCCATGATTCAATTTATTATTTTGGTCTTTTCTATATCTCTAGAGAGCCATCTCTAGTCAGTATTTTATACATCAACCAAAGCTATTCCACACCCCTTTGTACAACTATTTCAAGATAATAAGAGTAAGATAATATAATGTGCAAAATAAAATATTCCTAAATTTTCTTAGGTTTAAGTGAGGCCATATTGTAGAGACACTAATCAAAAGTATTATTCTGACTCAGGCAAGTGAAGCCACTCTATAAAAGTGAATTGCTTTGTCTGCTGACTTCTTAGGTGTTCATGCATTTGGCACAGCCTCAGGAGATTCAGCTCTTTAGACAAGAGCATCCTATTGGAAAAAAGAAAAAGAAAAAATTTTACCTAGGCATTCTTGGCAGTCCAGGATGTGGAACAGGAGTTTTCATTTCCCAAATGTTTTTACAGGTATTTTCTGTGTTAGTTAGCTTTTCAGATACCTGAGAGAAACAGTTTAAATGAGGAAGGATGTATTTTCTCTTACAGTTTCAGAGGTTTCTGTCTAATTTATAGGAACAAAAAACCACTTCCTGGACTGCCATACCTGTATAGATAAAGTTCTTCCTTGAGGATGCCATAACCCTTTTTTAAACCTTGCTTTCAGCCTGTAATCCTACCTATTCAGGACATTGAAATCTGGAGGATGATAGTTCCAGGCCAGTCCTGGCAGAAATATCCCGTTAGGTACTAAAGTTTTTATTTAAGGTAAGAATTAAAATCAGTCAGAGTTAGTCTTAAAACCTTTTAAAGTGCCCTGAAAGACTTGAGTCATTTAGAAGCACAAGTACATTGTTCATCTTCCTAAAAATTGGGAGTTGCTCCATGGAATTCATAGGATAGAGTCCCTATGAAATAATTCTCTCTCTCCCCCCACCCCCGTGCATGTGTGTATGTGTGTGCGTGCGTGTGTGTATGTGTGTGTGTGTGTGTGTGGTTTGCTATATTGAGCATTCTTTCTAAACTGAGGTCCAGTTTGAAGTGGAGATAGGAATGAACAGTGATGATGGGGAAATCCAAGTTCCTTTGCTCTTGAAGAGTATATATTGCCCTGACCACTTTTTATCTGTCTTTTTGTTTGCTTTTTGTCTGCCATGAGGTGAGCGATTGGACTCTAAGTCACACTCGCTGTCACAATACTGTGCCTCACCACCACAGGCTCAAAGCAAACATGTGTGTTAAGAAAAGTTTACAGACAGTAGCTTAGCAGAGCATTTCCAAATGAGTAGGAGTTTGCTAGGTGCCAAGCTGAGTGAGAACATACTCGCCAAAGGGA